TGTTACTAATAAAAATAAAAAATCTTAAAGATATTCAATCGAATAATTTTTATATATAATAAATTATTTAATATAATTAAATTTAAAATTTTAAAAATAATTATTGTAAAATTAATATAAAGCAAATTTAATAAAGCGAGCATATAATATATACGGATGTGAGCGTTTTGTGATGTGTGTCCTACATTTTTAGGGTAAAAATGAAGAAATCTGTAAATTTTAAGTTGAAAACGCCATGTGACTGCATACTTTTTTTGTATATATTTTAAGTTTAAAATAACAGTTATTTTCTAAAAATATTATTTTAAAATTTGAAAACTTTATTGAGAATTTTTAGCCAACGATATTCCTTTTTGATATATTTTACTAGACAAATTTTTTTTTTTGATTATAAGGTAATATTTATTTAGAATTTTTTTTAAATTATTAATAATGCGCACACATCCTGCAGATGCTCGAACCTAAGACTTCAAAGAGAACAACACTATATTTAATCGCTAAGACCACTTGATGAGTTTTAGATATATTATTTTGTCATTTCGGTTCCAAAGCTTCGCCTTGATTAATCCAGACCAACCAGCATTTTACACTTGACTTTAGTGGGTGAATCTCTTGGAAAAAACTTTTTTGTATATGCAAAGACTCAAACTCGAAATATTTTTTGAACCTATATTTTTCTAATATTTTATTTAAATAAAAAAAATTATTTGAAAAAAATCAATTTCAATTATAACATACGAATTAAATAAGTTTTTGAGTAAATTATAAACATATTAGTTTTATTTATTTATTAGTATTTGATTTTAAAAATATATTATTTATTTATAATATCAATTTTTAATATTTAAATAATTATTATATTAAATATAATAATTTGATGACGTGAAATGTTAATAAAAGAAATAAGGTAAAACGTTATCTATTAAGTAATGTTTTGAGGGTATAATACCAACTCAGTAATCATCTAAAGTAGATTTTCTTTGTACCTCCATGGCCTGAATCCAAAACTTTCAACTGACAGCATGTAGCAGAAGGTAGGGTTTACTTGAAAAGAAATATTTTGAATTGTATTATCGATCAATCTTATTTGAAAGAAGAAATTATTCTTAATTGATCCAAATTAATTTCAAGTTTGAATAAAAATATACTTGGATTTTTTAATCTATACCGTATGAATAAAAATTATAGATTTGATTATGCTATAGATTTATAATTTCCCTTATTTTTAAAAAATTTAAAATAAATATATTATTATGGTTTAATTTTAAATGAAATCAAAGAATTTTAGGTTAGATTTGTGGAGTCCGAGATATATTTTAATGAAACACAAGTTGAATTCACGATTAGGAGGTAGACAACGAGTAAACTAAAAAATTTGGGGGCTCCTAAGGTTAATGGTGATGGCAGTCGATGATGATCAGTGATGATGGTTAATGATAGTTGACGGTAGAAGATTTTAATTGGATTTAAGGATTGAATTAATAATTGATCTAAAATTTAAAGATCAAATTGATATTATATCTAAAGATTAACGATTAAATAATTATTTTATTTAAAATTCAAGAGTTAAATTAAAATTAAATTTCTTTTGCTAACACATCAAATCATTGAATCGACTATCTTTAACTTTTCAATTACCAAAATATTATAAATTAATTTTTTAAATAATCACAATTTTATTTTAGTTTTAAATCAACGACAAAGTGAAGTGAAAATGATAATTTTAGGGTAAGTTTCTAAACTGAATTTATTGTATATTTTTAATTGTATATTGCACAATTACTGGGGTATTTTTTTCCTCCCCGAAAAGACGATGAACGTTAATTGACATGGGTTAAATTAATTAGATAATGTGTGGAAACCGAAGTTAATGTCGACAACTTTGGTTTTTGCCCACAAATAACAGTTTGTCTGCCAACAACAATAACTAATTAATCACCTCACATTTTACTTTCACCTCAGTTCTTGATTTTAGTACTAACACAAATCTCATGGCAGCACGTTGAGCAAATTCAAATCACTAAATACATTCATCTCTAAAGTATTAAAAATCGACCGACATCCATTGTATTTTTCTACGGTTGTCGTGAGCACACCACGCGACATGTTTTTTTTTTTAACCTTCTCCACCACTACATTGTTTAAAATATTTTAAGAATGATTATGATAATAATTTTTAGCTCTATAAATATATAAATTATTACATATTTTATTCAAAAAATTATTAGATATTCTCAACGTTCGACAGTTTTTAAAATCTGTTTCTAGAGTTTTAATTATAATATATAATATTTTAAAATTAAAATGTGTAAACTTTGGTTTATAATATATAATATTTTTTTAAAAATTAAAATGGTTAAATAAGTATGAAATGAAGCTTTGGGAATGATTGTTGGTAAATACTGAACACACTAGAAATATGTGTTGGGTCATTGTTTCACCATAAAAGGTAAAAAAACGAAAAGTAAAGGGATGAAACGTAGAATTGAACATAAAAATAGAAAAGGCTGACAAAGGGATCACGCCCCATTTATATTGACATTGTAAACCCTACCTTCTGCTACATGCTGTCAGCACCCAAGTCCTGTATAACATATATTTATGTTTAGGGTATGATTCTTCAAATATAATAATATCTGTATGAAACCCCTCACCGTTCGATAAACTTTTGTTGAGCCATCAAACGGCTATGATCCATCATCAATCCCGACCCCGGAGTCGTCTTCTTTTGACCATCAAATTTGGTGTGTGAAAGTAGGGTTAGGGTTGAAGGAAGGAAGGAAGGAACAGTTCCTTTTGGTATTATAGGCTTAGTCAGAGAGCAACAGCTACTTGAATGTTATGGCATTTCAATCGTTTGTCTTTCGGCTGTTGATATTATAGTATTTGTATATAGATTTAAATAGCGATCCGGAATAACGACTATTATATAGGATTAAAGATGTTGCTTGAAATTATTATTTTATTACTGTCATATCCGTATCGATCGCAATGATAAAAAAAAAACATGATATAGCCATTATCCAGTCCAAGTATTAAAGCCCAACTGCGCCTGCAACCACTTACTTGAAAAGCTTCAAAGTCGACTCATCAAATCACCTCTCTCGTATCATATCATAGCAGTACCCAAATATATGATGGTGCAGCTGATACGGTGAAAATGAAATATAGATAAATCAATTTTGATAATTTTATTCATCATTCTTCAAAAGCTTTAGGTTCTCTTTATTTTTTTTATCTCAACGTTTTTTAACCTACAAACTTTGTGTTTCCTTTTGTTTTTCACTACTTTAACGGTTTCGCCAATCTTATTTTAATTATCTCCATGATCATGAGTAAAACTTGAAAAAAAAAAGGCAGATATTGTTGCATAAATGTTAGACAAGGCTGCATATGTATACACCAAGGCATGCGTGCATGCTGCATGTGAGCCATGGAAGCAACATCGCATGTGCTTCTGTACTAGTGGGAAAACTTTAAATTTATCAATTAGTTTAAGGGACAAACCCAATCCTATATATTTATTTTATATCTCTTATTTTAGTCTCCGATATCTTGACAGTTATCGATTCAAACTTTGTTCAATAGCTTTATTAATCATTTAAGCTTCTTTTAGAAAATAAATTTTAAAAAATTATACTCAACTAATTTTTATAATTATTATTTTTTTAAAAATTATAAAATGATAATCGTAATGTTAATTGCCATTAAGTAATGATATGGTACTTACCTTAATGGTTAATATATTTTTTGGATCCTTAATTGTAACTAAAATTTAATTTAAAATATAGAATTTTAAAATTATCATTTAAAAATATTAAAAAAAATACTAAAAAAAAAATCAGACATAAAGGGTCAAAAGAGATATTAATCATTAAATTAGTGTGTTATGTTACTTCTTAACGATAATTAATACCATGAGGACCATTTTATAAGCATTCAAAAAATTTAATAATCATTTTGTCATCTAGACACAATTTAAGATTTTTAATGTACTTTACCTAATATAATTTGAGACATCTATCTATCTATATCTATATCTATATCTATATCTATATCTATATCTATATCTATATATATATATATTCTCAATAACTAGTAAGTTTAGAAAGAACAAAGATCAAATTCTTCCATAGTTAATGATACCTATATCTATTATAAGATGCTAAACAGATAATACTGATTATGTGTCCAATATGTAACAAATATTTGCAATATTCTCATTACTATTTATACATGTCGACCATATGCTTTGTTTCTGTTTATTTTAGATTTTTTTTTCTATAGGAAGAAAAGAAAACTGAAAGAAACCGCCCAACCCACACTACTTATAGAATAATAGCCTTTTATAATATTCATATTCGAGCTCATCATCTCATGTCCACCACTTGATAATAATAATAATAATAATAGAAATAAATTATATATTAAGAAACAGAAAATTGGAATAAAATTAAAGATGTGTTATTGGGTTGGTTTAGATTTTGTTATCTTGAAGTAGCCAGCAGGTTGGGTGTACATACAAAAGTAAAATGAAAGATTCACCAAAAACAGTTCAAGGATAAAGATATAAAATCTCATGATTTTATTTTTTCTAATATAAAGTCAAAAAATCTATAATAGGGTCATTGTATATATAAATATATAATATATATGTGTGTGTTTAATTTTATTGTACGAATCAAGCAATTTCACTAATCAATCATCGTGAGAGATTTTGAATTCGAGCATGTTATAGAAAGAATGTTTGAATTTTCACAGTTAAATGATTGAAAATCTTTCAAACGATACTACTTTTAATTGACGAATGAATTACTTAGGTTTCTTTTGCTCTTTTTACTACCATATATTTGTCTCAGTAGCATCAGCAAGGAGTGAGGAGTGAAAGAGACCAACTGTGTTTATTTTCCTTTACAAAGCTACCCTTTCACATTAAAATAACCATAAAACATGATTCCCCTAAAAAACTTGCCCATGTTTTGGATTCCTCTCTCTCTCTATAAATACCTACCAAAACCTTCATAACTTGTCACCACCACCAGGCTCTGGAACAATATTTTCCTTTTTCTTGCTCTATTAATTTCTTGCTTTAGCAGGTTCTAGTTGAAAAAATGCAATGCCAGACAGGTTCACGGGGGAGTTACGTGGCGACCACGAGGACAACTGCGGGGGAGCCGCTGGAGAGGATAGAGAGGTTGGCGTCGGAGAATGCGGTGGTTATCTTTAGCGTTAGCAGTTGCTGCATGTGCCATGCGATTAAGAGGCTTTTTTGTGGGATGGGAGTTAATCCGACTGTGTATGAGCTGGATGAAGATCCTCGTGGGAAAGATATGGAGAAGGCTTTGATGAGGCTTCTCGGAGCCTCTCCTGCTGTTCCCGTTGTGTTCATTGGTGGGAAGCTGGTGGGTGCGATGGATAGAGTGATGGCGTCTCATATCAATGGCACTCTTGTTCCTCTTCTCAAACAAGCTGGTGCCCTCTGGCTTTGACAATCTTTGGATCCCATCCTTCCCAAACAACAAAAAGAAGAGAAAATAGGAAAATATGGCAGAGGAAGAGGAGTAGTAGTTTTGAGTCTACTCCATTTTGGATACTGCAATGGTTGTCATGTCAAGTTTTTTCTTTTACTTGTTATTCATGTTTTTAGTTACAAGTGGGTCTTTGTGGGTGTGCTCTGCTCTAGTTTATTATCCTAAGACTGAAATGTAATGGGTGATGCCTCTCCCTCCTCTGTACAAATGAAACAAATTAAATTAAAAATAGTTATTTCCGAAGAGCTCTCTTTTCTCATTTTTGCTGTTGACTGCATCTTAATGATTTCATCATCTATTATAGCGTATGGAATGGTAAGAGCTTGCCTTTTTTGACCCAGCAATGAAATTTTGGGGGGACTTTGCGCTTCTTTATCAGCCTTGAAAACAGGTATGCTTTTTTTTTTTTAAATAATTTTGAGACATATTATATATTTTCAATTGTATGATGTTTAAAATTCAAAAAATTTTAATAACTACATTTGATTGGTTGGTGTTTGAAACCTAAGTAGTTGTTGTGTTTGAATTTGATATAGAAGAGCTCTCCCCCACGGCCAGGAGTCATGATATTGAACTTCAGCTTGACAGATTTTGGTCGGGTCTAGAGATACTGTGAAAGGGGATGGTAGCCAGGACTAGGAGGGGACATTTCTCACCAAACCTTGGGGAGTTCGACGTCCGTACAATCACTTAATTTATTATTTGGAGTCTTACCACGTGTGATGGGCGTGGTATGATGATGACGTGTATGATTTTTTGGGGGCTATCAGCTACGAAGATTAGTATGTATGAGAGATAGATAGTGATGGGCAGGTGGGTTCCTATATGAATACAGTATATCCCTTTATTTTGTATATGTTTGGTGTTGGGACTTGGTCCAAATGGTTAGACTGAGATACGGGTCTGTAAAATTTGAATTGATTTGATTGGTGATTTTGTAAATTAGACTTGATTAAAAAAATTTAAAGTTGATTCGTGGTATAAATAACATTCGAATAATTTGAAAGTTTTTATAATTAATGGATTGATCTTTAATTTTTAATCAAGTTCTTTAATTCTATACAATATATGTCACATATAAAAATACAAATATATATATATTGTATATAATTAAAGAAAACTGTTTAAATTAGAATCGGATAATATCATAATATTATATATATTTATAATTAAGTTTTAAACAAAAATTTGAATAATTTAACGAAAAAAAATTTAAATAAAAATTATAAAATAAGATTTATCAATTTAAAAACTTCAAAATGAGGAGCTAGTGGCTTTTGAAGAGGTCGGTGGGGGGAGGCCATGAGCTTTCGAGCAAAAGGTTTATTCCTGTTCTATTATGGGCGCGATATTCATAATTTGATTCGTTTTGCCCTAAACAATCATTTTCTTTATTCTAATCTCAATGGATCATTTCCTCCGATCATTCAAATATCATAAATGGATGGAATTTTGGAGCTAAATTTTGAGATCTACTGAGTCATAATCTTCGGATAACTTACAAAACCTCTTAAGAAAAGAGTTATTTGCATCACATGTCCTCAAAGTATGACTCTTATTTCAAATTGATCCCTAAACTTTTAAAGGTTCTAATTTTATCCCTAAACCATAATTGTCATTCTAAATCAGTCCTTAAACTTTTGAACATTTCAATTTCATCCCTAAACTATGACCTTCATTCTAAATCGGTCCCTAAACTTTTTAAACATTTCAATATCATCCCAAACTATACATATATACTAATCACATCTCTTGCTAATAAAATCATTAGGCCAAGTTATATTATTATATGTTTAGAAAAAATTAGGTTAAATTGTGGTTGAAACTAATTACACATTTGGATGAATTTGGGGATGAAATTGGAATATTCAAAAGTTTGAGGACTAATTTAGAAAGAAGGTCATGGTTTAGGGATGGAATTATAATGCTCAAAATTTTAAGGATTAATTTAGAAAGAGAGTAAAGTTTAAGGATAATATTAAAATATTCAAAAGTTTAATGATCAATTTAAAATAAGGGTTATAGTTTGAGGACATCATATGCAATTAACTCTGAGAAGATATATTTTAAGATAATTTAAATCTAATAAAATTTATTTGGTGATAATATTCTTTTTATTAAAATTTATCTTAAAATAGTAATTCCTAAAAAATATTCTTAAACAATAGTTGGTTCTAACCTATTTTTTTATCAAGTATGTATTATTGACATATATAGTTATTGAGAGTATAATTGTTGTTGGTAAATTTAATAAATAGTGCTATGGAACATAAAAAGAGTTGCTTTAAAATAGAAATTGTTTTACACTTGTATTATTCTTAATTTAGTTATTTTTAAATAACAATAATTCGAAATAATAACTTATTCTATAAGAGTATTTTTTTCAAAAGAGACATTGAGTAACACTAATACTTGTTTTAGAAGAATTATTAACGTGTTACTAAAATGATAGATATTTTTTTGAAACATGTATAAGTTTATTTGTTGTTAAAAAAGGGCGAAGTAGTTTTTTAATGTGAGAAGAGATACAAATTTTAATAAAATCAAAACAAAGCATATACATATGAATATATGCAATTCCCGTCCCCATCTCCATAGTTCGGATATAGCAATATCCGTCTCCATCCCTATCCCCATTTGAGCTTAGGGAATAAAACTTCCCCCATCCCTATCCCCATCCCCATCCCCATCCCCATCCCAAGGGTGAAGTTTTCGGTTATTCCCCATCCCATCAGTTCGGATTCCCACGGTTTTTAGTTTTCCCCCACCCGATTGCGACCACTACATGAGATTAACCTATGGATCTCTTGGATTAAAGAATGAGGAATCTGTAGACACTCATTTTCGTTCGGATTTTTTATTATTATTTTATATATATTAATATAATATAATTTTCGAAAATATTTTTTTAGAAAACGATTTTTGAAAATGTATATATTATATAGTTTTTGAAAAACATTTTAAAAATATATATAATATATAGTTTTTGAAAAACATTTTGAATATATATATAATATATAGTTTTTGAAAAACATTTTGAAAATATATATATAATATATAGTTTTGAAATCATTTTGAAAAACTTATATAATATATAGTTTTTAAAATATTTTGAATATATATATATATATATATATATATATATATATAATATAGTTTTTTAAAACATTTTGAAAAATATATAATATATAATTTTTTAAAAAATTTTGAAAATTTATATAATATATAGTTTTTAAAACATTCTTGAAAATATATATATATATATATATATATTATAGTTTTTAAAAACATTTTTGAAAATATATATTATATAGTTTTTGGAATAGTTTTTTATTATATTGTTTATTTATTTTATTTTATATTTATTTTTTCAATCAATATATTTTTTCTTATTTATTTTTATTTTTCTTTTTTTAAAGGTCCAATGGGTCTAACGTTCGAGTCCAGCAACAACCCAATCGGGTTTGGGCTTGACCCAACTTAATCTTGAATTAGGGTTTCAACTTTACGCAAAGGCGCCACATGAGGGGCTCAAGGGGCACGTGAATACCATGCACCAGTCAATGCACACAGGAACGACCAATCGAGATCCCTGGAACTGAACCATCACAGGGTTTTCGGTCAACCCACAATCACACGAACAACCAAAAGGTTCGAAATAATCGGGAACTGTCACGTGGCCATCGAAAATAGCTCCGTTGGGGGCTATATAAATACCACCGGGGATAAGAACATGGATCACAACAAGACCAGCAAAAACATCGATCGAACACAGCGGTGAAAGAATAACAACATCAGATCACCAATACAAACAGTAAAACAACAAAGCCATCAACAACAAAAACAAGCCAAAAGGAGAAAACTTTCGAAACTGAAAGTGAAAATAAACAAAGTTCGAAACTTTGTTTCGTGGGGGGAACCCTGGGGAAGCAAGAGTCTCGTTGGAACCGTGGGGAGAGTCGTCGGGAGGCGAAAAGGCGTTAGTTTTAAGGTAAAAAAATGAAAACTTTAGGCTTAGATCTACGCCTATAGGTTTCTTTTAGAGAAATAAGCTTCAGTTTTGGGATTGGACGATCGGTAGCGCCGGCACGGCGGGGAGGCCATCGGACAGTGGTCGACCATCGAGGAAGGGGAGAGGGCTTAAGAGTGTTTGGGGAGAGTTTTTGCTTTTTTTGTTTTATGGTTTGAAATGATTTTTTTTAGTTTTGGGGCTATATATAGGGGAAAGACCTGTGTGTAATTATCTAATAGATAAATTCTTTTCGTAATCCCTGTTATTTTGAAGCGCATTTCAATTCGGTCATCGTTTGTAATTTTTTCTTCTGAATTTCCAATTTATTCAATTTAGTCCTTATTTATACTTTTTATATTTTGTGAATTAATCTCCTAATTTTGTTTCTTTTCTCTTGCAGTTCACTTTTAGCATTAACTTTAGTCAGTAAATTCCAATCTCATTCAATTTGATCCATTTTTATTTATTTATTTATGTTTCGGTTTTTTTGTTAATATTTATTTTTTTAACATTTTTCTATTTTTTATTTCAAAATTTAACCTTTTTTTATTATTTACTTTATTTTTTCTTATTTTCTTATTTTATTTTTTATTTTTTACCAACTTTCATTTATCTTTGTTATCTATTTTATTTTATTTATTTTATTATTATTATTATATTAATATTTTTTTCATATTATTTTTATTTTATAATCTAATAATATTTTTTGACTTTAGGGATACTTTTCAACCAATTAAATGTATGTAAGTTGAATCGAACGTTTTAAATTTGAATTTAAATTTCAAATTTTCGCAATTAAGACAACCGACAAATTAATTGGTACCAAAAGGGCAATACAAGGGTGCTAATCCTTCCTTGACTGTAACCGACTCCCGAACCCGACACATTTATGGTAAAATGCATATCAGGTAAGATGGTGTTCGATCCACCTAAATATTTTTAATATGATCGGTGGTGACTCTAACCCATTTTTTCAAGTCGAAGCCCAATTCTGGGCCCACCCGA